TCTTGCTGAATTTCAGTCTTCATTATTCTTCTTTTCTAGAATCTGACCGTTTTGTTTTGAAATCCTCTCCCACACGTACTGCTCCCCTTTAAATTAGTAAAGCACAGCAAACATGCATCTTCTCACCCACTTAGCCATGCCTTTCTCTTGGGTGTTGTCATCAGCAATCACCTCCCTTCTGGACACAGAGGACCACGTTTTGTACTTGCAGTGTGCTGACTGGTGGTGGCATCCAAAGGGATGAATGTTCCAGCCCTTCCCACTCCCCCCCCCCACACCAGGCAGCCTGGGGCCCAGCTTTGCTGAGGTGGGTGCTAGTGTAGGGTGGGAGGGACTGTGAGGTCTGAGTGCGGGTGTGCCTACCCGTGAATGTGCAGCCCCCAACCACACACAACAAGGATTCGGCTGGATACACCTGCAGTGCACCCATGCTACATCATTTTTTTAAGGTAGAGGAAGCTGACAGTTGCCATTCCCACTCCCAGGGTGAATAAGGGTAGCTTTGGGCCCTTCCAGGGGCATCTCCTCAAGCTGGGTTTTCATTAACTTCCTGATCTGGCCAGACAGACCACCTCCCCACCACCACCCTTACACCCACAGCTGCTCTCAACACTTGCCACCTGCTCCTTCTTCCCTGTTATCTATGGAGAAGATGAGCAGAGTTTTGTCTGGAGTAACCCACATGCATAGCATCTTGATGTTCTTCACAGCCTTCTCCTCCCTGGAGCTGGGTGGGCGTGCCTGCTGTGGTGTCCGTTTACTCAACCCTCATCATGCCCATAGCAGGCACCTCACAGACACAGAGATGCATCTAGCTGCCTAGGGGGTAGTGCTTGAGTGACTATCTCCTTAGTGCAAACCAGAAATCATTGCATTATCTTCGTTCATAAGATATGAACTGCTGCTATGACAGGATACCACAGACTGGGTGGCTTGTAAACAACAGAAATCTATTTCTTACAGCTCTGGAGGCTGAGTCCAAAATCAAGGAGCCAGCAGATTCTGATCTGGTAAGGTCCCTCTTCCTGGTTTATAGCCGACTGTCATCTCTCTGTGACCTCACATGGCAGAAGGGGTGAGGGAACTCTCTGGGGCCTCCTTTATAAAGATGCAAATCCCATCCATGAGGGCCCCACCCTCATGACCTAAGCTCCTCTGAACAGTCCCACCTCCTAACACCATGACCCTGGGGGTTAGGTTCCAGCATACAAATTTGAGGGTCACCCATATTCTGTCTATAGCACACAGCCACCACTGCATGACTATGACACTCACCTCTGGGCAGATGATGGCATTTTCACACCCACATTGTTCACAGCCTCTTGGGCTCACAGGATAAGGTGATGAAATCAAGGCCATAGCTAAAGGGTCAAATTCACAAGTTCTTGATGAAGGGGTTTGTTTGCCCCATTCTAAAAGCTGAGCTGACATCTGCCTAATGGATTCGACTCAGTCCTGCATCGTGTTAGTGAGAGCACACCACGCCAGACGGAGGCAGGAGAGCCAGTGTGCCAAGGCTGAGATACCAGGTTTGTTCTTGGATGTAACCAAGTCTGACTTCCCTTCTCCCTGAGTCATAAATGAATAACGGTACTAGGTGCTTGGGCTTCCCAGGTGGCTCAGTGGTAAAGAATTCACCTACCAATGCAGGAGACATGGGTTCAATCCCTGGGTCAGGAAAATCCCCTGGAGAAGGAAATGGCAAACCGCTCCAATATTCTTGCCTAGAGAATCCCATGGACCGAGGAGCCTGGCAGGCTACAATCCATGGGGTTGCAAAGTGTTGGACATGGCTGAGTGACTGAGCACAAACACACACGAGGTGCTTCAGATGTTGTGGTTAAATGAGATATTACATGTGGCAGCCTTAGAACAGAGACTGCCCGTCATTCTCAGCAGTAAAGGTGAGGTCAGGACAACCACCATCTCCATAAAACCCTGCATTTCAACCTCACAGCACCTCAGGCAGCAAGGCACCGTGATCATCCCTTTACACATGAGGAAGGGCAAACCTCAGGCCAGTGAAATCTGCCCCACATCACACAGTTAGAGACTTGGAAGCAAAATTATGGAAGAGTGGAATTTTCTGGTTCCCTCCAAGGGGCCCAGACAGGAAACCTGGTGAAGGCCTTCAAACTGCCCCCCAGAAAGGAAAGGAAATTAACTTTATCCTCAGTCACCATAATTAGCATTTTAAATAAGAATATAAAATAATGGCTGTTTCCATATAGTGGGTAATAACTATCCTGGTTATCCCTTTTTATTCTCACAAAGCCCCTACACGGTTTGTATTATACAGAAATGGAAGAGCAAAAAAGTGAGGTAACTGGTCTAAGGCTGCATGATGAATAAATGGCAAATTTAAGGTTTCAGCCCAAGGCTAGCTGCCCTGGGCACCCTTGCCCTTGGCAGCATGGTTGGCATGGATGTGAATACCTTTGAATTTCTCAGCAGGCCCCACGCCTGGACCTTCCATTCCTCTCTCTCTCTCTCCCCACACACATCCACCATGTGCATTTTCATTAAGCATCTTTGCCCAGTGATCTGTTGATTTGTTATATTAGAATTGCAAACAAATGCTCTCATTCTGTCCTCTTGTTCCCCCCTCTCCTGCCCTCCTGGCATCTGGAATTCAGCATTGATTTTTCTGGCCCCGCTCCACTGCCTGATTGACACTTCTGGTTGATTTCACCTTAGAGGCCTTCAGTAGACTTTCCAGGCTCCCACAGGAGCCGGGTTGGAATAGCACATCACCTGGATCAGGGGCCCACAACCTCCGTGCCGGGGACTGATACCTCCTGTCAGATCAGTGAGTAGTGGTATTAGATTAGAAATAAAATACACAATAAATCTAATACACTAGAATCATCCTGAAACCATTCCCCAAATTCCAGTCCATGGAAAAATTGTCTTTCACAAAATCAGTCTCTGGTGCCAAAAAGGTTGAGGACCACTGACCTGGAAAAGCTGAATTGAACCTCCCCAACCCAACGCTTACCTGCTCACAGATGCCAAGACTCAACGCCCCCTGGATTCTGTTCCCAATGTATCTCATGGATGGGCATACACTCCTCAATCCATCAGGGATCTCAACGTGCAGGGGAGCAGGGGAAAATTGCAAAAAATGCATATCCTTATAAGGTAGGACCAGTAAGCCTTGACCTCTTAAGTACTGACGTTCTCAACCAGACATGGGTAATTCGACATCTTGTAGATGACGAAGGGGATTATCCTGGAGCAAAACGGATCAGAAGCTATGAGGAAGATGGGCTCAATGAGCAGGGTGGAAAGGCAGTGGGATACGATCTTGAAAACAGAGGGGTCCTGATCTCTAACCCATTGAGAAAACTTCAGAGAGGTTTATTAAAAACGGCTTCATAATCCTCAGAGGTCATCTAAGCCAGTCCTCTGTCCAGGCCACACAGCATATCTCAATAAGATGAGCTTCTGTCCTGAGTTTAAGAAGTCAACTGCATAGATGCGCTCTCTCTCTCAACTTTCAGTTTTTGTCTCTGATCATTCTGTTGGGGTAACAGGTACCAAACAGAGCTACATTTTCCTTCCTGAACTTTCCATCCCCAGTGGATGCTGCCCAGTGATACCCAAGCTGGAATTTTATGGAAGCCACCACTCTGCCAATAACATCTGGACCCAGTGCTCTGTTAAGTGGTCGGTGGATGACCAGCTCAACAGAGAGAAAATTTGTAGTGGCAGGCCAGCTCAGGACAGCCGAGTGTTAAATTCTAGGGATTCTGGGATCTGGCCATTAAATCATTGGTAGTTTGAGCTCATCATGGAGGGAACAGTTACACCACAGAAACTGGCATACATCAGGGCATTATAAAATGCTATAAATCAGGACATTTTTTTTTTCCCTAGAGAATGAGGGGTTTATTGAAACGAGTCCCCGGTCAGGTGATAAGCTTAAATAGAGGCAGAAGGCAAAGAACAGGTGGAGTAAAAGATGGAAGGAACAGAGGCAAGTCGAGGAATCCACATTCTTAAATCTCTTGGAAGGAACAACCTTTAATTTCATAATCACCCCTCCTCCTCATCTCCTAGCCTGGTACAACCTCATTCTCTCTTCATTTCTATGTCACTTCCTCCCAGGAAAACTATCACTGGTCACACTTTCATACCTAAAATGGGAAAGGTTGAAGAGACAGGTGAATCTTTGAATTCTATCATTTATCAAAAGACATAAATTGGAGATAAAAGAACCAGCTAAGAGCACTTGACCAGAGGCTGAATTCTAGATGTACACTTGTATGAAGTTTAGCCATGGTTGTCTCCAGCTATTCCTTATATAAATGTTTATTCTACCCAGCCAACTGATGAGCTCATCAAAATCAGAGACTGTACCTTTTATTTCTTATACATTCTTGACAGTGTCTGATAAGGTACCAAAGACAAACAGATAACCCACAAATATTTGGTTTATTCAGTTCAGATCAGCTCAGGCATGTCTGACTCTTTGTGACCCCATGGACTGTAGCATGCCAGGCTTCTCTGTCCATCATCAACTCCCGGAGCCTGCTCAAACTCACGTCCATTGAGTCAGTGATGCCATCCAACCATCTCATCCTCTGTCGTTACCTTCTCCTCCCATCTTCAATCTTTCCCAGCATCGGGGTCTTTTCCAGTGAGTCAGTCCCTTGCATCAGGTGGACAAAGTATTGGAGCTTCATCTTCAGCATCAGTCCTTCCGATGAATATTCAGGACTGATTTCCTTTAGGATGGACTGGTTTGATCTCCTTGCTGTCCAAGGGACTTCTCCAACACCACAGTTCAAAAGCATCAATTCTTTGATGCTCAGCTTATTTTATGGTCCAACTCTCATATCCATACATTTGGTTTATTAACTGACCTGAATCGAACTGATGACAAACCAACCACTGACTTTTTATCAGAGCCCTTTTTTTTTCTAATGAGATGAAACTTAGCTGTTGGCTAGGCAGACAGATACTAGGTCATACATGATCTTGATCTTGGAACTTACTTGAGCTCATGCCTATGGCTCCACCTCATTCTCATTTTCCCAGCAGGCTATCTTCCTTCTTCCCAGTTTCCCAGGATCCTGATCTCCTGTTAAGAATGATTCTATTTGAGATTGCGGTTCTTAGTAAGCTGCTAACTTGGTCACTGATAATACTCAACTGTGTACCTGAGACACCCCCAGATGAGGGCAACTCAAATTCTACTCAGGCCAAGACAACAAAGGGAGCCACCTCCAAAGTGGCTCAGAAGCTAGAGGAACCATCTCCCCAAAACCTCCTGCCTTATTAGTGCTTTTCCCACAGTTGATCCCCTACAGGAAAACCAGTGCCCAAGGATTTGAAGAGACATATCCTGGTCTCTGAGCCCCAGCTCTGTGCCCACAAAGGGTGAGATGCACCTCATTTGGAAACTTGTCTTTCTCCAACTTCCCCGTCACACATAGCAGCCTCCATCTCTCATGCTTCTCTTCCTTCCCCCAAATCCCCCAGAATCAGGATCAACGTGCTCTTGGTCCCTTGGACTAGAGGCCAAGATGCTGATTCAAATGCTGCCTCTAAAGAGGAGGTCAACTCTCCCCAGTCTCGTGACTGCTCTCACCGAAAGCTGCCAGTGGGTGTTCCTGGGTACCAAGACCTCTCTCAGAATCTTCTTGAAGACTCTGAAGAGTGCTCACTCGCCCACGGTTTTCATAGATGACTTCAGAGGGTTCATAAGGCTCCAAAAGCTCAGTGACTCCAGATTGAGGACACCAGGAGAAAGGCCTCTCTGAGTCACACTGTCCATTTCCTTCCTGGACACCAGCTCCTATTTTTCATCTCTGGAATCCCTCCCTGTCTCCAGGAAGGAAGAGGACTACTGAATGGGATCCCTGCACATTACAGACTGACATCAGAGAGGCTGTGGAAGAGGCTCAGGCCCACACAGTAAATTACTAAGAGAGCTGGGGTTGGGATGCGTATCTGAGGGGCTCTCTCTGGTACTCAAAGCAGCTACATGATGCTGCTACCTGATGTATTTTCCGCAGATCTCAGAAACAACCACATCAAAACTTTGGCCTTCAACATCTCCTCAGCTAGGAATTCCCACCAAAAGGTTTCAGAAGGGAAGGAAGTGCCTTCTGAAAGGCACTTCTGAAAGGGAAGGAAGTCTCTAAACAGACTAGGCAGAGCATCTCTGTCCATCCTGAGCTGACATCTAGAGGACTGACACTGGAAATGGACATAGCACTGACTCCAGCATTAATGGGGCAGTTATAAGATCCTGTTAATTTTAAACCTGCTCCAACAAGTGGACACATTCATCTCACACCCTCTCCTTAACTTCTCCAACCACTCGGCAGCTGGCGTGGGCTGTTCCCCACCAGGCAGCTGCAGGGATGGGAGTTAGGACCTCGCCCCCGCCCCCAGAACCATCTCTGCATGTCCGTAAGTGAAGACTCTGTTCCATTCTGACCTCGAGGTGCTCTGGGCAAGCTGGAGATCCAGAAAGGCCCAAGCTGGTAAATCTGTGCCCAGGCCTCTTGCTTCACAGCTTAGGACCCCAGGCAGGAACCAAATCCTAGAGATCTCAGAAAGAAGGTGATTCAAGCCTGAGGACGACTCCTGGATAACACTCTTTTCTGTATCCATCCCTCCAAACAGGGATTGTATAAACTCAAAGGTTCCTGACTGCTAATTCGAGATAAGCTCCTAGCTACCAAGACCCACCTGCCCCTTCCTTTTAAGTGGCAATTTTTTCCTACACCTACAGGAGACCATGTACTGNCCTCCAAACAGGGATTGTATAAACTCAAAGGTTCCTGACTGCTAATTCGAGATAAGCTCCTAGCTACCAAGACCCACCTGCCCCTTCCTTTTAAGTGGCAATTTTTTCCTACACCTACAGGAGACCGTGTACTGATAGAAAGTGAGAGGCCAGGTGGAGTGAGCCCAGACCACAATGAATGAGGGCTCACCCTTCACGGCCAAAGCATTATCCACCCTGGCCAAGAGTGCTCACCCAGTGAGCAGTGGAGAAGACAGCTGTTTTCTGCCTCCATGTCCTCTGGCTGAGGTCTGCTTTCGGCTCCCTCTTCACTGCACCCCCATCCTAAGGCTTCTAGGGGTTTCCACAGAAAGGGAGCCGGAGGCAGTGGCAGTGTCCTTCCAGCTAGCATCACCTCCACCACCATGAGCTGATGTGCTGAACAGCTCAGGAGGAGGTAGGGTGGAGACAGCTCTGGTCCCCAGACAGTGGGGGAAATTTACCAACATATGGGAATAGACATTAAACACAAGCATTAAGCAATGGAGACACATACTCCCAAGTAAAAATTTTGGAGAAGGCTCTCTTACACTGATTTCCAGCAAGGAAAGAAATGTTTCTTTCGTGGCCCCCTTGCATTTTGTTATAGGCTGTGTCTGCTGTGTCCGGAGGGGAGACAGCAGTGGGGTGAGCTGTCAAGACTCTTTTTTTGCCTGTGGAGAGTTTTCAGGGAGAAGAAGGAGGTGAGAGCTTGATCCCTGGACCCAGTGGGATACCAGGTAGGGAAGGCCAGGCCAGGCCCACTCGGACAGAGCAAGCTTGCACCCTTTGGCTGCCCCAGCAGCCCAGAACAGACCGGGCATACCAGGCTGGGGTCCCCAGGCACAGGGGTGGGGTGTGGGGACTGTGCAAGTTTATTGCAGCAATGATCCTCCTGGAGATGACGGCCAATGAGCCTCCTTTTCTTAAATCAATAAAATTTCTGCTTCCCTCAGGGTTAGATTGGACATTCTTCCAAAATGAGGCTCAAGGCATCAGACACCAAAACATTACATCACATTTACCGCCCTTTTTCTTCCCTCAAAGTCCCCTCCCCACTCCAGAAAGGCACTCTGGAAGGACATACAAGTGATTCTTGGCCTTTCTCTTGGAGTAGTCATGGGTTTATTTTTGCCTCCAATCTGGCTGAGCTTTAAGAGTCAGAGAAAAGGCAAGATGTTTTCCTCCCCTCCTTTGACTGGGGTGGGGGGGGAACATTTCCAAAATAACTCAAAAACAGTTATCTGTCATCATCTCCCCACTGGAGCACCCTGGCACCATGTGTCTAAGACAAAGGGAAATCAAGCCAGGATCAAGAGATGGAAGAGGCAGGAAGAAAAGGCAAGGCTTCTGCTTCCCATGTTAGGGTCCCACCTGCCACCAAGTCCTTCAGGCCTTCTCAACCCAAGGGAGCTTGCCCAGGCCCATTCCCAGCAAGCAGAAATGAGCAGGGCTCCAATACCAAGGGGAAAAGATCATAAGACGGTCTTAACACTGGAAAAGCAAGGGTGGCCATGTGTGCTGCAGAGTCCAAAAAAGACGTGGCACAGAGCAAGCTTCTAGGCTCAGAGCTCTCCCGGAAATGGTCACTAAAGAGCATTCACATACTATGGGCTTCCCTGGCGGCTCAGCGGCAAAAAATCCACCTGCAATGCAGGAGCCGCTTGAGACACGGGTTTGATCCCTGGGTGGGGAAGATTCCCTGGAGAAGGGCATGGGAACCCACTCCAGTATTCCTGCCAGGAGAATCCCATGGACAGAGGAGCCTGGCAGGCTACAGTCCCGGGGTCACAAAGAGTCAGATATGACTGAGCAACTGACCACACATGCACACACTGAGGCGTGGTGTGAGAGGCATGAGGGGCAGGAACCCAGCCCCTAGGAAGAGGATGTTCGTAGGGAAAGACACAAAGGAAGGCAACACCCACCTCTGCTCATGAGCAACTCAATCCAACCCAAGCTCTCTGGTTTCGAGCAGGGAAGGGTCGGAAGGATAGGAACACCAGCACGGGGGGCCAGAGGAACAAGTATCAGCTGGAAAACGGCTCCCAAGATGGCTGGAAATGAAGGCCCTAATTACATTCCTCCATTGGCTATGACCTGGGGTCACCATACACCGGCAATTATTTACTCTGCCAAAGTGATTAGGGAATTGGGGCCAGGGAACTGATGCGCTGGGGTAGAGGGACACGGGGGTACGGAAGATGAGGCCGGTGATGGGAAAGATGCTCTTTTCGCATCTGACTCTTCCTAATTGGGGTCAGCACAGGCCTCAGTGAGGGAGCTGTACCCTCACCTGGGTCTACTCTTCATTCTTGATGAAGTATCTGGAGGCCCAAACATGAAAAGGGAATGAAAGAGAAAAAGAGAGAAGAAGGTCAAAGAAACAGTTGCCCATTAGCAGGTGAGAAGCCTACATAAATCAGAGAGAAGATGGAGCAGATTCAACAAACTGCCCTACACCCCCCAGGATGAGAGCAGAAAAATCAGTTCAGGCAGGTAGGACAACAGCAAAGACAGGACAGGTTGGAGAGAGAAGGTGACACAGACCCTAGCCAGGGCTGGATTCTGTGCTTCTCTGAGTGTGGCCTTGGATCAGCAGCAGCAGCATCGCCTGGAAGCTTGCTAAAAATGCAACTTCTCAGGTCCTACTCTGGGGCTTTCCAGGTGGCACAGTGGTAAAGGATCCACCCGCCAGTGCAGGAGACATGAGACTTGTGTTCAATCCTTGGGTCAGGAAGATACCTTGGTGAAGGAAATAGCAACCGACACCAGAATTTCTGCCTGGAGAATCCCATGGACAGAGGAGCCTGGTAGGCTACAGTCCATAGGGTCGCAATGAGTCGGACACAACTGAAGCAACTTAGAACGCATCCACGCATGCACTCCAGGTGTATTGAATCAGAAACTGGGGCTGGGGCCTGGCAATCTGTGTGTTGACCAGACCCCACCCCACCCCACTGGGTGATTCTGTATCACATTTAAGTCTGAGAACCACTCCGTAGGGACAGGGGATTCTAATTTGGGGTTCCATCCTTTGCTGCTAGTGAGTTTCTTCAAATCTTGTATTCAAAACACCCCTTGAGACTGGACATTGCTTTCCATGAAAATAAAATCATTTTATAGACAGAGATTTTGCCTTTGACCACACCAGCAGAAATGACATTTGAGTGTAGTTCTTTCAGAAGCAGCAGAATGCAGTTTGCGTGCAGCACTCAGCATACCCTTGCCTCAGCTCCCTTACATGAACAGCAGGTATGTGACAAGTAGCCCATCGGGTGAAGGGTACCTGTCATCACCACACT